GGCTTCGGGGGGGGTGGGGGTGGAGGGGCCCTGCCGTGCGGGGAGGTACCCCAGCCGTGCGTGGGCAGCCTGCTGGGCGATCGGGCGTTACAGCACGTTTCACAGGCGTCTGCGGGGCTTGCGGGCTGTCAAGGCTTCTGACTTGCGTATCTTTACAAAAACAACGTCAACTTGTGAATTTAGTAGTTCCTGTTGTTCTTGCACATAAAGATTTAGAAGCAATTTATTTTAAGTGATTGTTACCCAGTAATTTCTACATAAGGTTATAGACAGCCATTTCAAGGATGAGATTGTATTGCCATTCTTGTGATGTGATTCACTTTTGTTACCTATTACTGGAGTTCAAGGGCATCTTAATTCTTTTGTCAATACTTAAGATCACTTTTCATGTAAGTGTGTATTGTTAATTCGTTGATTCTAGGGACTTGTGTTGTTTTTTTTTAAATGTGTATAAGCATGCATTGGCCCTGATTCTGCAAGCATTCAAGCACCTAAATACAAATATGTATACAAATATAACTTAACTAGTCACACTAAAGACATAACTTGCTTCTTCTGTTACCTTCTTCTTTTTCCTCTGACTCACCAAGACTAGTGTCAAGAATTAATTCTGGTTGTATTTTTGCAAGGTGTGATCTCTAGGGTATGTGCATACTAATACGTATGGTTGACCTTGATGCTGTATTCAAGCAACTCAAGCTGTATGAGCTGCCTCTCCATGTCTATCTCTGGTGTGCCAACCACATGCAAAAACTGTGCTGTGTGAAGCAGAGATATAGAGAACAATGGGTCCTGGGCTGGCTGTCTTTAAACAAAGAGGTGAGAGATGAAGAACATCCAGAAGAGTTGGAAAAGGAAAGGGGAACTTTGAAATCTTCAGGAAGCCAAGAGGTGGACATAATCGTTTCACCCACTTACCAGGCAGTTTAGCATCAATTCTGTAGTGGGCCTAAGACTATCTGTCGCCAAGCTGAGAAGTTTAATTGGTGCTACAAGGTTATCATGAAGTTGACTTTAACTGTCACTGGAGGTTAGGCCCTGCTCGCTAAAACTGCAAAATGCATGTTCCTGTACTTAAGTTGCACATTAAAATTTAGAACCAACTTATAACTCCTGACACTAAACAAAGAAGAGCATGAATTAAAACTTAAGTCTTAGGTATATTTCATCTTCTGCCTACATGGTATAAATGAAAGTAAACTTTTTTCTTTTTCTGAGCTTTTATGAATCAGTAATGCTGCATAGTAGTTACCAAACTTCTTAGTGTTTGCTTGATTTCCAAACATAATTGCAACTTTTAATTTCCTCAGATATCCTTATGAAGAAAAATACAGATTCATTCGGATTGGAAATCCAGCCTTTTCCACTAGGCTGTTGCCTGTCAGAGGAGCAGTTGAATGTTTGTTTGAAATGGGGTTTCAAGAGGTGAGTGTAATCTAGTTATTTCTGATGTCTTCATCAGTTTTACCCACTAAAACTTAAAACTGAACTTTCTTCTTTTTTTCCAGTTGCAAGGCACTAGATTTTTGGGCAGTTGTTCTCCTCTTAGTTTTCTTTCAGTCTTTGTTTATAAATATCTGCAGCTGACCAACAGAAAAGCTGAGTGAGGCTACTTCAGAAATCATCCTGGCACAGCTGGAGCTAACTGATCTGTGATAAGATTGTTGTTTTTAATTCTCTTTTGGCCCCCTACTAACTTGCTTCATGGTCACATATCAATGTATCTATGCTGGCACAAAGGAAATGGTCCTTATTTTAGTAGCAGGTGGCTATTCAGCGGGCATTATGTTAAATTAAACTGAATCCTCAGGCTGTAGTTTCCATATTTTAAACTTATATAGGGAAACTGTCCTTTGAAGAAATGATCCTGCCTTTCTGCTGCCTGCAGGTGCTTGTTCCCACCACTAGTATGGCTTATGTGGCTCCATAGTAAAATAAGAGAACAGATCAAATTGAAAAACATTGCTTTTGTTGTTGTGAGGAATAACTTTTATCCAATGTACCTGTGCAGCTGCTCTGCAATAGTGTTGTCATGGCAGAAGTGGAGGGCAACAACCTGTTTTGGGAGGGCAGGACTTATACCCAATTAAATTTTTAGGAAACTACGTCCTAAAATAGCCTTGAGTGAATCTTCTTTCTGTTGCAGTCATAAAGATGGGTTTCAAAGACTACCTTGCCTGCTAAAATGGTCCCTGTCTCGCTAGTACTTGACAATTGCTAAAGCATCTTGAGCTAGAAGTAGCCTTTGTAGGTACAAGAGAGCTGGGGTGAAAAACAAACTGGTTTAATGGTGCAAAGCTCTTGCTTCAATTTGTCTGTTTCATGTCACGCTTCTGTATGGGTGCATTCATTCTGTTCCTTAGGCCCAACTGTCATGAAATGTCTGTTTGCCTTCTGTCCTGGTGAAGTTAACTAGTGTGGGTACACTAACTTTACAAAAAACACTTTTTTGTCATGTTAAGTGCACAGTCACTTTGCTTCTATCATAATGACTCGTGACTGTAGCATCATAGATCATGTTATAATGAAAGTAGGGACCCAGAAATCAAGATGGATACAAGCATGAATAAGGATGATGTTTCCCATCTGAAGATGCATAAAACCTAAAGGACATCAACACAGAAAAGAATTCTAAGCAGATGCTGTTCTAGGGGCTTCCTCTTCCAACATTGGGTAGCCCTCCCGTGTCGCCTCGTCTAGCGTATTACTGCTGTACTCTGTAAATTGAGCATGTGTTGTTCATTTGTTGCTCTTTCTTTCTCTGCCAAACCATAACTGTGATGTCCATATGTGGCTCTGCAAAATAATAACGTGTTTTTGTTAATAACTTACAAGTGCTCTTTCCCCAGATTGACTATAGGTTCTTGATCTAATAGCTCCTGCTGTGAGAGACCTAATCTGGAGGCCGAGTCCTGCCAGGCCTTGGTATGCTAGCTTCTAGTAAATGATATAGCTGATAAAAATGACTGACTAGCTTAGACCTGCCTTAATTGCTGAATTAATTTTTCTAAATTTCAGGGAGAAACTCACCTGGTTTTCCCTAAGGAAGCATCGATTGAACAGCTACGTAAAATCAGAGATTTAATTGCTGGAGAGAGAAGTAGCAGACTGAATGAGTCTAATCAAATCCACAGATCAGCATCTTCTGAAACTGTAGCCAGCACTCGGGCGGTTGCACGTCAGCCTTCAAGACCTGCTGACTCTGTTCTTGCCCCTGCCCATCAGCAACTAGAAACATCACCTGCACAACCTCTTGAAATGGTAATTATAACTTTAAAACTTTGTAGGAGCACTAATCTTGAATATAAATGTTGAAGAACAGTCAAGCATTGGAACGGGTTACTTGGAGAGGTTGTCCAGTCTCCAGACTCGGCGGTTTTTAAGACCCAACTAGATAAAGCCCTGAGCAGCTTAGTCTTACCTCATAGCTAACCTTAACTTTGAGCAGGAGATTAGATTAGAGGAATGATTTTTTTTTTTTCTTTCTGATGGCTTCTGAAGTTTTGGAATGTTTTATTCAGTCTTCATCCAACTGAAACAGATGTGCCATAAATAGAATATTAACAAGAGATTTTGTTAAAGATGTCCTTAAACTTGTGTTTTCTTGATCAGGGTGTGGTGAAAACAAGCCAATTCTTATTGGAAGGGGACAAGAGGTGGAGAGGATGAAAATCTAAGTAAAACAGTGGCATTACCACAAATCCATTGTCTATTTAGTTAAGTAACTTGTAAGCAAAAGACCTGACATTAAAATATTTCTGATTTATTTTCTGTTTTGGAACAAGAATTGCAGAACCAGTGAAATCCAGTTTCTAGCTACTTTTCCTCTTGATACTTTCTAATGTTTAATACGATTGAACTTAGGCCCTATGGGAAGGCGTTAATAGCATCTATCATCTGTTATCCTGGTGCTTGTTTTTGTGAGACTTACAAGAAATTAAACACTTGGAAACCTCCACTCAGTCCAATTTAACGGTAATTGACCAGGGGACTTAAATGTGTGTACATGTAGATACTCATGTAGTGGTCTAATGTTCTAAGTCCAACCGTAACATGATTAAACTATAAACCTACTTCGGTGCATCAGCTACTAGAACCATTTACAGAAAAGAAACAGCCACTCAGCAGAGGGGAAAACATCTTGCTGATGTAACTCTCTTTTTTTCAGTGCTATGCGTAGAACTGCTCTTGTTGGCCACGAAGAGGATCTAAATAAAAAAAAAAAAGACAAGATATAGAGAAACGTTCACCTTTGTATGGTGAAAAGCATGTAAAATCTTCTGTGAGCGCACTCCTATCTTTATAACATCAGTAACAGCCAAAACTGTTTAAGACAGTTTCTTAACTGGGTTTACTTGTTGGTTAATGGAACCAAGCAACAGAGTTTGGTGGGTGGTTGTCTGAAATTCAAAGCAATTTTGACTTTTAAGAATTAATTAAGTGGCACATGCTGCCTTTAAGGGAGTCTTTAAGGTAGATTATTATTTATCCGAAAGCTATTAGAGATCTTTGAGGCAAGCTTTTGTTTCAAAGTCAACTCCATCATGAAACAGAGTATGGCACAGGAACTTGCTAGGGGTCTTCACAGGTTCAACACGCCTGCACAGCTGCATGCTGTAAGTCAGAGCACAGCTTGATTGTTCGTGTACAGCTTCATGAAGATGTCTTTGTGCAGTCAGAAGTTCCAAGACTCATTGTGTCCAAGCTGTCTGTGTTTGTGCCTTCACTCCTGATTCTGAAAAAGCATGGAGTAAGTCAGTTCAGGTTTGTCTTGTTGACAGATCTAATGCTCACTTGTTGGGGATTTCCTCAGCAAAACTTCTCTTTTGGCATTTGTGTATGTTGTGTTGGGCTTTGTCTTGCTATGGCAATGAGGAAAAAACTGTGACAACTTGAAGTTCAGTAATAAAATTTCAGGTTTGATACAGCCAAGTTAATTTCTAGAAAGCTAGAGCTGTTGGAATACATCTAGTAGCCAACAAAAGAACCAGAGATGAGTCTAGTATGTTGGATTGTTGAAGTCTTGTTTCATGCACTGTGCATTGTATGTGTAGCCTGTGAAGACTCTCTTTATTTATATGCAGCTATTGTGAGAGACAGTAATTTAGCCAAGCAAGGACAAGCATATAAATTACTTTGGCTATGTCCTTGTCGAAGAAGTTGAGATAAAGACCCCTATGAAGACAGAGAGGCGGAGATCTTTCATCTGATGTTACTTGGCCTGATGGGGAAAGGGTCTAACGCTTCACGCTACTTTGAAAAATGAAGGCGTTATGTCTTTTGATAGGAAGCTGAAGCACACTTTAGTTTAACTCTTTAGAGAGTCTTCTCCCTTTCTACCAGTGTTAAACTGGTCTTATGTAAGTTGGTGCAAGATGAGTTCTTCCAAAAGCTCCCTTTTGTAGATCTTCCAGCAGAGTCTAAGCCTTTTTTATTTATGTTATCAGCTTATTGTTGGATGCTGAATCATGAATAACTTTCTTCCTCATACCTACCTAGGATCAGTGAAAGAGAAATGATGTAGCATAGGTTGAAGTAATCTCTTCTGGAGTGAGAGCGCTCAGTGCCCCATCACCACCCTTGTTGTCCTTTAAGGAAGGAACTTCTGTAGGCTCTGTAACATTCAGCCATCTAATCTAATCATGTTAGCAGTTGCCTGTAAAATGCAGTAGCTGAGTTTGTTTGCTTTTGGTTAGTTTGTTTTTTTACTGTTGTGGCCACTTCTGCCAGGGTGGTTGGAAGCGATTATGAAACCTCTAGAGTGGCTGCTTTAGTAGTGGTCAGTATTGGGAGCTTTAAAAGTTGTGTTAGTTTTGGAGTGAGAAAAATGCTGTTGCATATTTCAAGCTGGCACTTGCGTTAATCTGAAGTTTGACTCTTCTCATTTGTAGTTGTTTTGCCCTGTCTCTTGCTAGCAAGCAGGGTGGTGGATTAATTTCTCTGCAGCTCGTATTTTTCAGGCTTCTTAAGATAAGACCTGGGTGATGGGACTAACTTATTGCAGTTAGAGACTGCTGTTGCAAAGGTGGCACTCCTTTAGAACTCTGTTTTGGCTGATCTCTTCAGGGAGCTATGCTGCTGGCTCTCTGAACTGTTGATGATTGGGCTATGTAGTCCGGGCTGATTAAAAGAAAGTCCTTAAAATATCTTCTGGCTGTGACTTGGCCACTTTGCTTGCACAGGATTAGATATTTTCAGTTGTAGGCTTTTTGGGGTGTAGTAGGGTTTTTTCCTCTAATGACTATACTGCAGGGATGTAACTGTATTGTTGTATGTGCTGCTATTGGATGTCAGAGAAATTTGGATAGTTTTTGTAGTGCAAGTACTTATGTCATGCCTGTGTGTTAACCCCTGTGACTCATGGCAGTCTTGGTTAAAGTAGGGGAAAAGTGGACTACTTGAGCCATCGCAGGAATATTCCTAAATGGCGTGGCGCTGTGCTGGGGAACTAACTCATTGTTATCTTCCCTATCTTTGGCTCTTTGTTCTTGTAAGAAATTCTTGAGACCTCTGGAGAAAGGAAAGCTCTGGCTAGTCATTGCTCTGGTGGATGGATTCTGATCATTTGCTGGATGATATGGTGACCAGAGGATGAGAGAAGTAACCAAACTTAGATTTATGGTGGTGGGGTTAACTATATATCCAGATGTGCGCCTACACTCTCTTGAAATAAAGTGGCTTGCATTAAACCACAAAGTTAAGCGCTGCTGTAATGCTGATATCGTTTGCCCATGGGAAAGCTTGAATTGTCAAAGGATCTGGGGGATTCTCTGGTGTGTTGAACAACATTTCTGAACGCTATTCCAAGAATCTGACAGAACTTCACAAGATCTATAAGCCACTGGCAGCCCCTGATTTCCTCCTGTCTTGTGCCAAGCTGATTATATTTGTGTCTTTAGATGTTCTAGATACATTTATCTGCTGTGTATAATAGAATATAGTACATGCAAGAATCCTAATTGTTAACTTGTTTTGCAAAATTATGCCATACTCAGTGGCTAAGAGCCTGTTGCAGTCTAAATTAAGGCTCTCTGATGGGATTGGAGAGAATACCTGCTGCCCAAATCCTGCTCTAGTTTCTCTTCTGCAAATTTGCATTGAAGTGAATCTGAGCACAGTTGAGTTTATGATGTTAAACCAGTTACCTACAGCTGATGAGCTCCAGGAAGAGCGAAACCAGTTCTGACCTATTTCAGCAGTTATGAAAAGTAAGGACTGGTCCTGTAGTACTGTCCAGCAGCAAAATAGTCAGTCACAATTTAAACACTGCTGTGAAAGAAACTGTCTTCTGGAGGGTTCCCACCTGTGTATTATATTACATTTGCAGCTAGTCTTCTGGGAGGTTAGGGCATCCATGGTAAAGGAAAGATGGTAGATAACGAGACTACAGACTGAAGCATCATCTAGCAATAGACAAAAAGATAAGTTATCAGTACAACATGCTTCTCCCAAAAAAAAAAAAAAAGCCAGACTCATTTTAAAAATCCTATTTCACTTTCCTTCTTGTCCCCCTTTAAATATGAGTAAATAGTTTGTTTGGCTACTGTTCCACTATTAGAAGCTTGAGCTTATTTTAGTAGATGTGGGTGTAGCTTCTTCAGTGAGACACATAGTTGCCACTGAGGGCCAAATGACTGACTGAAGAAACCAAGTTCTTATCTTTGATCTCTAGTGAAATGTGCTATTAATAAATGGACACAGGACTGTATATTCAAAAAAGTACCAGAGTTGATCTTTGAAAGAAGGAAATATAAATAGACAAGCAGTGTTCATGACTAAGTAAGTTCTGGGATAATAATAGAGTTCTGGGAACTAGGGCATGAGGTGCAGAGTGTCCAGAAAACAGAATGAATTGCTGTTTGTAGATTTTGGATGAAAGGTGTCCAGAAAAAAAAAAAAAGTCAAAAATGTTGTCATCAGAGGTGTGTGTTAAAACACTTTCAATTCTCACTGGATCAGTTCGCTTTTCAGTAAAGATACCATTCAGAGTACTCAGAGATGACAGGCAGTATTCACAGTTACAGTGGTGCTGGTGTTTTCTACTTTTATTGATATCTTTAGAAATATGATGTCTTCTGTAAAGAATTTTATAACGTAACTGTGAGTGTGGGATTGCGACTAACTCAAACCAAGCTCTCCTATCTTGGTTCTCCTGTTCAAGATGAGAGTTCAAAAATCATCTTGTGACTGAAAATCCTTTTGCAGGCTGCAAATATCTTGAAAAAACTTCAAACAAACTTTGAACATCTTGTATTGGTGTATGAGAATCCTTCTCTTCAGCAGAAAGCACTAGCTTCAATTCCCCTCCAAGAATTGAAAGGGAAGGCTCAGAAAAAGCTAGCACAAGCTACAATACTGGACAAAGGTAATGGTACCAAGTTACAATTTATGAAACTAAAAATATTCTGTCAAACCTAAGTGTGATGTATATGACTACTATGCTTTAGGAGTGTGAAATAAGTGATATGCCTGCAGGTGCCAAATGCTAGCTCTAAATTTGAATTGCTGTTTACCTTGTCTGTCTCTTGTCTTACTCGCTTTCAAATTTTCTACTTTTTTCCCCCTTTGTACTTGTGTTACTTATTATTTCATTTTTATCTAGTCATCTTTTGCTGATTTCATATAGACCTTCTGAACTTGAAATTTCTAAAGCAGCTGTAAACAATGCTAGGGAAATGAATAGGGTAAGCATTTACAGTTATTTTACTCTAAATAGAAAGAATACGGCAACAAGAAGATGGAATGAAGGGTTTTCTGTGTTTTTTTTCCTTATGTAGTTACTGTTCTAAAATTGTCAGAGTGCAACTTCCTCATAAATACTACAATTCCAAATTCAGAAGAAAAATTTAGAAATGCAATTTCTCATTTTAAAATGATATTATTGGAGACATTTTGCTAGTGACTTTTCCAGGGCACAAGCTGGTATTGAGAATCACCGTTCTTACAAATGCTTAAATGGGTAGGTTTGCAGGAGGATCGCCTTGGAGAGCCTAAGGTGATGCACGAGCATAAATATTTATGGTGTCTGCGGCTTCTACTAAGTCTTTGTCAGTTGAAAATATAAATGCTTTTCATTTGAACTATGACAGATTTAGATGTTTGTGATGCATCAATAAAGTGAAATTTTACATATGCAAGATAAATATCTTTAAAATTGGGCTTCCAAGGCTGTATTTAAGCACAAAAATCCTTTTCATTGTGAATCTTTGATAGAGGATTTTGGTTGATTGAAGCAATTCTGCCAAATTGACTTGTATATTAGAGGGTGCTGTTTATTGTAGACCAAAAATAAGCTCTTTTCTTCTCAGTTTTATGAATGAGTTTGCAATATTTTGTATAGCTGCACACTAATACATAATGTCTTTGGCATAAATGAGCTTTTTTAATATCTTTTCTCTTTTTGTAAAGCTCCATTTGGAAGTAGGAAATTGAGAATGCTTTCTACTTGCTTATCCATTCAGCAGCGTAGGACTGTGAAATGGGGAAGAGACTTAATAAATGAGGACTACTTAAATGGCTTTTTAAAAATAGAAAAAGATAAACGTACCTCTTTTCCAGTTCTGCTTAAGGAGGAAAGAAGGAGGAGGGTGGTGGTTGCAGGTGCTGCTGCTTCCCAAGCCATCAAGCTGATCTATTCAAAATGGCTTCCAGTTCTATAAATGTAGATATAAATAAAGGGAAGAGTGGAAGGACAAACCACCCTGTTTTAAGCTGTAGCAGCTTAAGAGCGTTTTTAAAAACCTTATAGAAACATTCCTTTGAGAACGGACTTTGTATGAAACGTATGCCTAATTGGCCATTTCAGCTTCTTTGTGTATCTGTGCTCCTGTATTAAGACTGTCACCTGTGGCAATAACTGCTTGGTGCTAGCTAACACTTGTTGCTTTTTAGGTAGGCCTCTACCAGGTATTTTTGACTCATGAGAACCATGCTAATAAAATTGTAGTCATTTAAGCAAGAGTACAAGTTTTTGGCTGTTTTCCTTGACCACCTTCCATAAGAATGAAAGATTGTCCAGTTGAACATAACTGCATGTTACAGTCACTTTCCTGTTCAGACAGATCACATCTGTCAGGCTTTCCATGCTATATTTTCCTGAAAGATTAATTAATGAACTAGGAGAAGAATATTTGTGTAATAGCAATCATACTTTCATAGATGGATTCTATTGCATATGCTGTTATCCAGTAGAAAGAAAATTGTCCTGTGCTCGAAGTCCTGAGGCAGAGAGTTTGAAGTGAAATACACAATCATGTCCACTGTATAAGCAATAATTGTTGTCTAAGTGCTTAAGCACAAGTGCATTTTTCATGTATTATACACTACAATAGAAATTTTACTACAATTAAAAGTCAGTCTGAAGTCTTAGGTTTTCTTGCTTTGATTATGATATAATCTTCTCTCATTCTCTTCCTGTTCTTAGTGATGTGTGTGTAATAGTTAGTAGCCCAAAGAGCCTTTTATACCAGACGAGACTACTTCAACTCCCAAAGAAGATTTAAACTGAGCTTACATATTTTCATCATCTAGGTTTTTTGCCGTCCTGAAAAAGGACCTATCATGCAATTTCAGTCCAACTTCCCTTAACAGGATGTTTATAAGTTCTTCTTATATGTTCATATTCATTAAGCAGACCTGTCTGCAAATGTGATTATAAGCAAACTATAGTACATAAAATAACCAAGTATTAATATTTAGGGTTGCAGTGTGGTCTAGATGATGGAGTTCACGGGAATACTTAGCTGAATGTTTATGGATCTGAGGAGGAGAATCTCTCTGTGCCTTTGAGCAGAATACATATATAAATTAAAGACTCTGAGGAGTTAGAACGTAGAAGGGATGGATCCCTTCCTTTGGAAGGCTGGATTTTATAATTTGTTAATTAGGTGAAGTGGGATTATTTCCAGATGGTGGAATAGCAACAGTACATGAGACGATTCAAATACCTGCTGTGAATGCAGGAAAACGGGACAGAAGAGTCTGATGTTCAAGTATGGGGGAATTGGCTAGAGAGTAAGAACATAAGATATCCTGTGTCTAGCTCAGGTAAGCTGAATTCAGAGAGGCTGTTTGCTGAAGTTATAAACAAATTCAAGTTTGTTCACAAAGCTTAATTACTGGAAAAAAATATGTACTGTGCATACACTGTGTCTATCGAAAGTCTGTTCACACTGTGCCTGGCTGGCTAGACTGCTGCTAGTGGATGGTGGGGTGTGTGTGTGTGTGTGTATGTGTGTTTTGACATCCTTTGGGATTATGAAGTCAAAGCATGTTAGTCTTTTTTCTGCTCTTAGCAAATGTTATTCTTAGCTTAATAGCTATCTCTTCCATAGCCCTGAAAGAATATAAAGAGCATGAGGATCCTCACCAGGCTTCTTTGTGCATGTAACTTGTTTTTCTGAGCAATCCCTCATCTTCATTGTAGCTGTAGTATTCTGGAGTGGAGTCTTTTTGTTCTTTGAAAATACAGTTTGCCATTATCCAGTCTTTAAAATTCAGATTTTGGCGGGGGGGGGTTGTGCTTTTGGGGAACATTAAAAAAAAATTTTTAAATATATAATGAAACTTCTAATGTATAATAAGGGCCCTGATGCAGTGATTTTATGTAGGTGCTGAAAAGTTCAACTAAATTGTCATTTTGCTATTTGACTTAGTGTGTGTTAACTTTACAGGTGCACATTTGAATGAAGAGGACTTCTTGCTGTTGGAGCTTTTGAACTGGTTTAAGAATGACTTTTTTCATTGGGTAAATAATCTTCCTTGCAGCAGATGTGGTGGGCAGACAGAGCCTAAAGATAACAACCTGTCACCTACTGATGACGATCTAAGGTGGAATGCCAGTCGAGTGGAAAATCATTACTGCAACCAGTGCCAGTTCTGTAATAGATTCCCAAGGTGAGCACATGAAGATCTGCTTTATTTTCCCTGTCTTTCAAGAGACAGCTTTGCATTTGTGTGTTCTGTGAACAAGTGAGAGAGGTTGTTGGATGAAAGAGTAGAGAGGTCATTGTAAGTAATGCAATAGAGAGTGATTGCTGGTTCATCAACCATCCTAAGTTTTGGAAGTTCTTAAAAACAAAATGCTACTTTAAGTGGCTTTGTTCTGAATACTTTTCTAATTTTTTTTTTTGGCTGTTAATTTGATAAAGTACAACTTCCAAATAAAATGCCTTAATATTGGCATAGTACATAGATGGTTTTTCTTACCTCAAGGAAAACTATTTGACTACTTTG